GGCCACGGCGGCGACCCCTCCCCACTGCGGTGCCAGGGACGCGGAGGCAGCGGATGCAACGGCGGCAGGCGAGGATGGGAGACAGCCACATGCATGAGTGGAGCCGGCCGCGGACCACGTTACCTGTTTTATAAATATTTCTTAAACTACCAAAGCTTTTTAATTTCCACATTTTGCGCTTGGCTGCAGAGGGTCCGGGGCAGCGAGAGCAGAGAGAGGAAAGGGGGAGAGAGAGTCACGAGAGGAGCCCCGGGGCAAAGGGGCCAGGGTGTGCAAGGGGGAGGCATTTGCAGAGCAAGGAGGGGACGGGGGGACGCGCCAGCGTGGACGGTGCCGTGCAAAACGGTGGCCCCACGGCAAGAACAGGGCCTGGACTGTGGCAGGGGGGCTGGCGATCACCTCCAGGTCTCCAGGGATCATTCGTCGGAGCCCTGGGGCGTCCCGGCATCGTTCTCGTGGCCCTGGGCCACTGGCCCCACGGCCACCATCCCCGAGGCCCATGGTCTCTGCAGCAGCATCCCTGGGGCTCTCACCTTCCGCTTGTCCTGCTGAGCCCTCTGTCTTGGATGGTGTCATCAGCTTCTTCCGGCGGTGCTTCTTCCTGTCAATCATGGGCGACGGTGGCGGGTCTTTGCCCGAACTGCTGGGGCTGGATATAGTCTCAGAGGTGGGGGGGCCATCTGCTGAGAGACCCACACGCCAGCATCAGTGAGGGTCACAGGGCTATCCAGGGTCACCAAAAGCACTAGGTTCATTGGGGTCACCAAGGTCATTGAGTTCACCAGAGTCCCTGGTGCCACCAGGTCCTCCTGGGCCACTGGGCTTACTGAGGTGACCAGGTTCACCAAGTCCATCAGGGTTAGTGGGGCCATGAGGCTCCACCAGGGCCACTAGGATCACCAAATTCACTGGGGCTGCCAGGACCACAGGGCTCACTGGGAGCACCAGGGCCATGAGAATCACCAGGTCCACTGGGCTCACAAAGACCACTAGGGTCACTGGGCCACCAGGATCACCAGGCTACTGAGCTCACTGGAGCCACTGGGCTCACCAAGACCACCTGGTTCCCCCAGGATCACTGTAGGCCACTGGGGCTACCAGGGTCACCAGAGGGACCAGGGCCACCAGGCTCACTGGGGCTACCATGTCCCCCAGACTCCCCAGGAGCCTTTGGGCTCCCTAAGGCCACCGCAGTCACAGCCCAGGTTCTGCCCCAGGGAGAAGATCCCGTGAGGTGCGAGGGGACGCAGGGGGACACTCACCAGTGCTGGGCATCTTGGCGCTGGAGGCAGAGGCACAGCGCTGCAGCGACCGCTCCTTGCCCATGCCCTTGGCCCCTGGCTCTGGGGGGAGGCTCAGCCCCACAGGGGAGGTGCTGGCTGCAGGTAGGGAATGAACAGTGACCCCAAAGAGCGTCTGTGTCCCCTGCACCCTGGAGCATCCCACCACCCCAAGGGGTCCCACCACCCTGAGGGGTCCCCACCACCCTGGATACTCACCAGCCCCCTCAGGTGCCTGCACCCCCGCCACGTCCTTCACCAGCCCGTTGATGCTGGCCGATGGGCCGCAGGCAGAGATAGCGCGTGGTGGACGCTTGCCAGGCACCTTGACCGTGGTCCGGAGCAGGTCCATCTCCTTCCCGTGTGTGCTGTGGATGTAATCCTGGTGCGGGGATGGGCATGGCGCTGAGCGCGGCAAAGCCACGTCATCCCCTCCAGTGTGGGGAGGGTATGAGGCACTGAGCCCCATCATGGAGGCCATGGGGCGCTGGGGGACGTGAGGGGCTGGGACACTCACATTGATGCTGGGGTGGTAGAAGAGGAGCCCATTGCTGGATAAGGTGACATATTTCTTCTTCCACTCCTTGTTGAGGGAGTTGCCACTGCGCTTGAGCAGGAAGCTGTGAGGTGGGGGGGGAAAGGGGGTGATCGGGGACATGTCTGGGGATGGTGGTGAAGGGGGGCTGTGCCATGGGTGCAGGGACACCTTCGGGGATGGTGGTGAAGGGTGACAGAGAAGGGACAATACCATGCTCACCTGCTTGATGGGGATGGCACGTCCGCTGCCCGCCACCTCGCCCCGGCTGTCCAGGCTCCTCTTCTCCGAGTCACTGCCCCGGCGGTTCTGCGGGAAAGGGAATGGGGTGGGTGTCCCGTGGGGTGGGTGTCCTGTGGGGTGAGTGCCCCGTGGGTGAGCCACCCCGGGGACCCTATGCCAGGCTGGGTGCTGGGTTGGGGCCTGCAGAGGACTTACAGCGAAGAGGCTGGTGCGGCGCTTGGCGCCGCGGTGCAGGGAGCTGGGGGTGCCCAGCGTGACCGTGGGCTCGCCCCGCAGCTCCCGGTGGCTCACGTTGGGGGGGGGCGGCAGCGA